CTTCTCTCATCTGCGTTCTTCTATTGAGCTCATCTGTGAATATTTTATCTTGAGTGTTGTGTTTTTCAACTTTAAAATTTGGTTCTTCTTTATATTTTCTATTTCTTTCCTGACATTTTCTATCTTTGGTACTTGCTTCCTAAATATGTATCTAGAGTCTTTAAAGTCTTTTTTTTTTTAAAATAACTCTAACATCTGTATAATCTAGGAGTTGGCACAATATGATTTTTTTTCCCTGAAAATTGAGAGATTCAATAGTAAAAAGCTGGAGGCTTTTCCATTAAGATCTGGTATAAGGATGTCTACTCTTTCCACTACTATTCAGCATAGTATTGATAGTTACAGATAATTATTGATAGTTACAATTGAATCCAAATTGGGAAAGAAGTAAAACTATCATTATTTGCAGTTGACATGATAATATACAAGATCCCACAGAAAAACTAATCAAAACAATTAGTCAGTTTAGCAAAGTAGCAGGGTATAAAATCAACACACAAAAATCAGCTGCCTTCCTATATACAAACAATAAGATAGAAGAGAAAGAAATTAAGGAAGTGATCCCCTTTATAATTACACCAAAAAAAAAACCCCACAAAGTAAATACCTAACAAAAGTAAAAGATCTATACAAAGAAAATGATGAGATGTTGAAAGAACTAGAAGAAGACATAAAGAAATGAAAAATTATTCCCTGTTCATGGATTAGAAGAAACAACATGGTCAAAATGGCCATCCTACCCAAAGCAATATACAGATTGAATGCAATCCCAACAAAAATATCAATGGCATTTTTCAAAGAACTGGGGCAAACACTACTGAAATTCATATGGAATCATAAAAAGACCCTGAATAGCAAAAGCAATCTTGACAAAATAGAAAGAGAATGGAGGTATCACAGTTCCAGATCTCGAATTATATTATAAAGCCATAATAATTAAAACAATCTGGTACTGGAACAAAGACACACAGACCAATGGAATACAATTGAGATACCAGAAATAAACCCACAAATATGTGGACAGTTAATCTATGACAAAGGATCCAAGAACATACACTGGAACAAGGATAGCATCTTCAATAAAAGGTGTTGGAAAAACAGGACAAGCAAAAGAATGAAACTAGACCACCATTTCATATCATACACAAATCAATTCAAAATGGATGAAAGACTTGGATGTAAAACCTGAAACCATAAACTGCAAAGAAGAAAACGTAGGCTAAACATTTCATAACATAAGCTTTAGTGGTACCTTTAGGGATTCATCCCAACAGCAAAGAAAACAAAATAGAACATAAACAACTGGAACTACATTAAACTAAAAAACTTCTGTACAGTAAAAGAAACCATAACTAAAATGAGAAGACAACCTACTGAATGGGAGAAAATATTTACACACCATGCATCTGACAAAGGACTGATATCAAAGATACACAAAGAACTCATAAAACTCTGCAAAAACAAAACAAATAATCCAATTAAAAATGGACAGAAGAAATAACCAGTCTCTTCTTCAAAGAAGACATAGAGACTGTAAAAAGGCACACGAAAAAATGTTCAACATCATTTATCATTAAGGACATGCAAATCAAGACCGCAGCGAGATACCATCTCACACCTGTGAGAATGGCCCATATAAAAAGACCAGGAACAAGTGCTGGCAACAATCTGGAGAAAAAGGAACTCTCCTACACTGCTGGTGGGAATGCAAACTGGGTCTAGCCCTTATAAAAAGTAGTACAGAGGTGTCTTAAAACATTAAAAATAAATCTGCCATTCGACCCAGTAACTCCACTCGTAGGCATCTACTCCCAAAATTCAAAAACACTAATTTGAAAGGAAACTTCCACTTCCATGTTTATTGTAGTGCTACTTGCTACAGCTAAACTATGCAAGCATCCTAAGTGCCCCAAAACAGATGAGTGAGTCAAGAAGATGTGGTTCTTGGGCCTCCCCAGTGGCGCAGTGGTTGAGCGCTAGGTTGCAAAGCTGCCCGCGGCCTCTGTGGCGCTGGTTCGATCCCCGGCTGCTCCCTGGCCACCGGAGGAGGGTCCCACATGGCGCGCAGACCTCTCCTGCCGCCTGCTGCTCCCCTCAGCAGTGTGCTTCGGTCCTTCTGCCTGCTCTTCTCCCCGCTCTGGCCCTGGTGAGTTCTCTCACCCTCCAGCGCTTCTGACTATGCCCAGGGCATGTATAAACAAACAAACAAATAAATAAATAAATAAAACATGCCTCTATTTAAAAAAAAAAAAAGAAGATAACTCATGCAATTTGTGGCAACATGGATGGAGTTGAAAGTGATAATGCTAAGTGAAGTAAGTCAAAAGAAGAAAAATAAATACTGGATGGTGTCACTAATATGGTAATATAAAGTAACTATGGTAAGGTAAGAGTAAGATAAAGGCAAACTTAAAAACTAACTCTTGAAAGGTAACTACAGAACTGAAGCACCAAGGGAGAGAGGTGGTCTAGGAGGAGTTAGAACAGAGGGAAGGAAGCACAATGGGCTATGGGAGATTTGGTGGTGGGTGCACTATGGTGGTGAGACCTGATGAGGGTATCCAAATATACCTCAATTAAAAATAAATTAAAAAAATAGTAGCAAGAGGGGCCTCCCCGGTGGCGCAGCGGTTGAGCGCTGGGTTGCAAAGCTGCCCGCAGCCTCTGCGGCGCCGGTTCGATTCCCGGCTGCTCCCCGGCCACCGGAGGAGGGTTCCACATGGCGCGCAGACCTCTCCTGCCGCCCGCTGCTCCCCTCAGCAGTGTACTTCGGTCCTTCTGCCTGCTCTGCTCCCCGCTCTGGCTCTGGTGAATTCTCTCACCCTCCCACGCTTCTGACTGTACCCAGTGCTTGTATAAACAAACAGACAAACAAACAAATAAATAAATAACACGCCTCTATTAAAAAAAAAAAAAAATAGTAGCAAGAGTCAACATTAATAAAGAAACATATTTTTAAAACTCTATTACTCTTGGTCTAAGTTTTCTAATGTCATTACTATAATGTAAATTGAAATATAAGCAATAATAGATTAATGCTTTGAATTTGAAAAAAAAAATTGAGAGATTCCTGGTTCTTCCTACATCTAGTTATATTTTACATCATATCCTGCATATTTAGAATATTGTCAAATTTGGGTTATCATTTAAACCCTAAGGAATTTTACTTTGTTGTTGTTGTGTTCAAAGGCAATTGCCCTACTTTTAGGCGCAGGCCATAAGTTCTGATCTTCATTGTGTAGATTGTGGTTCCAATGTCAGTTTTCCAAATTTCCAGTACAGTTTGGTTCTGTCATTTAAGTACGCCACCCAGTGGTCAATCTGGATCCTGAGTTGAAGTCTACCCAGTATTCAATTTATAATGCCTGTGAGTTCTGTTTAGGGTCAGACCAACACAGACCTAGTTTAGAGGTGAACAGGGGAGTTCATACATAACTTTTGGGGTCCGCAGTTGCTTGTCTTCCTTTTTCTGGTAACCCAACACTTTTTGGCTCCCTAAGTCCTCCCTAAGTTGTCCTCCAGTAAGACAGCTGAAGTTTTAGTTTTCCTTCTCTGCCCTTTACTTCTCTCAACTACATTTGTAATCTGGTCCAAGCAGTGAGAGGACGCAGACAATAAAAGCAATAGGGATTTGCACCATGCTTTGGGCACCAAAACTCCTCAAATAAAGTGAAAGTTTTCCTTCCCTTTGAGTCTATTGTGCCTTCCTGCCCTCTCTGCTGTTGCTGTTGCAGTGCCTGGAGGCTGGGGTGGGAAAGAAGGCAAAGGAAAAAATAAGGATATGGGGTTTCTCCCATCCTCTCTGGCCTTTGGAGCTCCTTCTCACTCCTTGGGCAGGAGGCGTAACACTTCTCTGAATTCTTTCTGTGTACTCTCTGGGTGGCAGGCCGCCTTTGACAGTCAGCCAAGAGAGACCAAGGGGAAGAAAAAAATGGGTAAATTCAAAGCTAGTTCAATGAAATTTCAAATTCTACTCTTCGTCCACAATCTGCTTACTATTATTTACTTTGAAAAGTCTCCAAGGAGCTGCTCTGTGCAGTTAGTTCAGGACGCACGTTATCTCCAGCAGGAGAGAGAGGAGTGTGCTTGTTTACTCCCTTTTCCCCAGGTCTAAGCCTCTGTTCTTGTAATTTTTTTTTTCTCTTCTACTTACTTTGGTTTTAAATTGCTCTCTTATTTTTTTTTTCCCTCCCACTAGCTTCTCAAGGATATAATTAGACCATTGATTTTAAACCCTTCTTCTCTTCTAAATACTTAAAGGAATGGTATTTAGGGCTTGGTTCTACTTCTCTGCAGTTTCCTTGGTTTCCTCCCTCCGCCTGTGTCAGTTCCACCTTCCAGCAGCTACTGCACTGGCAGCATCACTACAGTGCGTTCTAGAGAGAGAAGGTATCATCTCTTCTGTTTCTTTTTTAGAAGTAAACTTTTTTTCAGAAGCCAAGCCTCTCATGTCTCATTGGCCCAGACTGGGTAATATAGCCATTCCTAAAACAAAATTACTTGCAGGTGTAGTAGAGTTGCCAAGATTGACTTAGACTAATCATTACAGATAGAATGAATATTGAAAAGTCAAACCATAAAACCACCTAGGTGACAAAAGGGCTAAGAACAGATGAAAAAAAAAAACAAGATTTCACAGGCTAATCTGATTCTGATGCAGCCCCACTGACATACCAACATTTAAATAGTTGATGTGACACATCCTCCAATTTTATACTTTTCTAGTATATCCTTATGGAAGTCAAGGAAGCAAAAGTATCAGTTATTTAAAAATTAAGAAACTCCAATTTACTTGTATATTTGAGAAGCAATGTGGTAACTTTTCACCCTACTACATGGACACCATATCTGCTTCTGTACTGAGCCCACTATTCCATGCATGAGCTGCCTTGTTTACTGGTTTCTGGAGAACCTGGCCCAGTGTATGACTCACAAATTCTTGTGGAATGAAAACATTTGCAAATTATATATCTAATGAGGGATTGATATACAGAATTTATAAAGAATTCCTATAACTCAGCAGCAAAAACAATAACTTAATTTCAAAAATGGACAAAGGACATGAATAGACATTTCTTCAAATAAAACATATAATTGGCTAATAAGTTTAGATGCTCAACGTAACTAATCACTAAAGAATACAAATCAAAACCACCACACTATACCACCCTTGTTAGACTAGCTATGATTAAAAATACAAAAATCCCACCATCCTTAGTGTTGGAAAGAACGTGGAGAAATTGGAACCCTTGTGAATTGCTGATGGAAATATAAAATGGTGCAGTTACTGTGGAAAACAGTTTGGTGTTACATATTTAAGAGGGAGGGAGGGAAGAAAATGCCTTGTGGGATTAAAGCTCTTGGAAAACAGAGGAGCATTTGGAGGAAGCAGGCAAAGGATGTAGAAATAGAAGTGAGGGAGAATATGATGGCAGCCAGGGTCCTTCAGACGTGGAAATGGCAAGGGATCAGAGAGATGCCTCTTTCATTATGAGGAGAAGAGGAAATGATGAGTGAGGTGTAGGTAACTTGACAGGAGGAGTAATGCAGGAAGCAAAATCATAGTCATTTACCCATAAAGAGGAAGTCGGCAAAGGAGGATGGCTGAGCCCACACTGTTGCCAATTCCCACCTGCCCTGCTGCCTTCCCTCCAGAGGGTGAAATTTCTTCTTTACCAGACACACTTGCACAGTGGAAACATAATCAGAATTTTGCTGGGGTTTCCTGGAAAGCTTTTCTGTTTCTAGCAGAGAGGGCCATGGCTGGTGTTCCTCTATTTCTTTCTGATCTGATCCCAAATGCCATTCCTGGAGCTGGAATAGCTTTCTTATGTATCTGAGAAAATAATCAAGGAGAAAAGTCAAAAGAGAGGCAGAGATAGTGGCCAGACTAGTCATTGTCCAGTTGCTGAGAGCCAGTTGCAACTTACCCTCCAGATTTCTGGTTCCAAGTCTTATTTAAGCCACCAATGGTGGATTTTACATCCAGAAACAATCCTGACACAAGATTTAAGGACAGTGGTGAGCATGTGACCTGGTCTTCAAAGAGAATGGGAGAGAGATGAAGAGAAAGCATAGGAGTATAGATAATATTGAAGGCTCTTATGAAGTGAAACTTATTTTTAAAAATAGCACTTTCATTTGGTGCACTATCTGTAGAAATTAATCCTTCTAATGGGGGTGATGATGATGATGCTAATTTTTATCAAGGTTAGCCCACATCATAATTCCCCTCTTAGACAAACTAACACCTCCTACTTATTAAGAAATCTATGTAGATACAAGTAACTCAAACATCAATAGCCTTTAAAGTCTCATGATGTACATAAAAAATATGATTTTTACTACTTTCTGATAAAGAAATTCAGATTATTCAAAATGAAGAAAAGGAAATCTGACAAAGTTTGCAGCAGCACCAACATAGATGCTTCCCTAAGAATATTTGATTTTTGATTGTGTTATTTTATTCACATAGTACCTAAGAAACTGGCTTTCCATAATTAAGCAGTAATTCACAATACACATATATCTGAAGCATTTGCTACTTTAATAGATGGCTTGTTCCTCTCTTTAATTACAAAGAGCATGAGCCCCAAATAAAAAAACTCAACATTCTTAACAACTGAAAGTATACAAAATCCAATATATATTTATATTCACTAGAACTGGAAAGGATAATCACTATCAGAAAATGCTATAATTAAAATTTATATTCACTTCTGCTACTAATCTTATATTTATGAATATATTAACTAAGCAGAGCAGACTAGTCCCACATTTGTTCCTGGAATTACTCAAAGCACTAGCTACTGGATTTCTTGTTAGTGAAATGTTTACAGTTCATGAGGAACCCATCAGACATAGGTTCACCATGAGCCTCCTCTTCCCTTCTTCCAAGAACTTTCATTTCTAAGATTTGCCTCCATCTGGGGCAACCATAGCAGCCTAGAAAACATAATACATGCATTCTTCTAATACACCACAGTTTGGTCAAGAATTCCTGGAGAAGGGGACATTATACTGTATACTGTCAGAATAATTTTAATAACACACATCAGTCCTTTTCTATTTCAACAGGGAATCTGATTTGTGTAATTCAATATGTGTAAAACTTTGGGGGAATCCTTCAAATTGAACTTTAACAATTTCTTCATTTGTACAAGAGCACTGAAATCCAGGCTCTCACTTTGTGACACTCGTCTAGAAACTCATCTAAGAATGTGTAAGACCCTGAAATGGCTGTCCTGTGATGCCTGAAACACATACCCAGCTGACTGTGCCAGAAAAGGGAGCAAATGAAACAGTGAAGGATAGTGGTCAGCTGCTAAGGGTTTCCTTCTCCAGGTAAACTTCTTGCAAATGTCACAGTTGCCAATATTCCTGTTAGCTCAGCTCCACCTAAACAGCTTTTTCATCATCTCCCCATTTCTTTATCTGGGTATCATCCACCTTATATAAACACCCATAGGCAGCCCTATTTTTAACTAGAACATTTCTCATGTTTAGATCATCCCTCTAGACATGTAAAGTCATCTTAAGATTCTCAGTGAGTTTTTTCCAAACTATATTTTAAAGGTTGTTTTAGGTTGAGTCCCTTTACCCACCTGCTTCCTAATAATGACCCTGGACATTTCTGCCCAGGTTTTGAGGTACATATTTGGGGGGACAACTTCCTATCTCCCTATCTTGAATCTGGTGACAAAAACCAGATGGGAAACCTTTTTAAAAAGTACTAAAATCTCTAGTGTAAGAACTCCAAAGCCCAGATTAGGAAATGGAAGGAAATATCCATTTTTATAGTGAGTAACTCACACATGCCTTCTCAACAGGAAAAGTGGTTTCTGTCTAAAAAGGAATATTCTAGTTCATTATTTGTGTTAGTAATGGAAATAGCAGATTATGTCTGAGAATGTCTTTTCAAGAGCTACGCTGGGGATGGAAATCTGAAGTCAGCTTTAGAATCTCAAGCACCCAATGGAACACTGCTGATGAGCAGAAAAGCAAGCAACTGCATAAGACAGTCCACATCATCTCTGTGGCTTGTGTGGCCTCTGAAAGGAAACTGATTCCTACTGAAGTCACAGTTTAATACTAATATTTATACTAAGGGGTGTTTCTGTCCTGTGTCTTCTCTCCCATTGAAAAAGCTCTGAGTAAATGCTGATGGACTTTTTCTCTAGTGTGTCTTTTCCTATGTCTGAAAAGATTGGAGCTCTGACTGAAGGCTTTCCCGCAGTCATGACACTTGTAGGGTTTCTCCCCAGTGTGGATTCTTCGATGCTGAATCAGGCTCGCGCTTCGGCTGAAAGCCTTTGCACACTCATCACATGCGTAGGGTTTCTCTCCACTATGGATTCTCCGATGTAGGATAAGGGCTGAGCTCTGACTAAAGATTTTGCCACATTCATCACACTTGTGTTGTTTTTTTCGAGACGGGTTTTCCTGTCTTCTTTCAAACCTGCCATCTTGTTCACAGGTTCCTGCATAGTTGAAATTCTGGGAAGCTGTCATAGGTAGAATATTAGAAATACTACAATGCAATCCTGGGCCGGAAAAAGTCTTTTCTTTTGAAGCAGACTTTTCAATTATAGTTCCAGTGTATTTATCTGAAATAATACACAAAAAAAGCACATGTCACCAGTTATCTGTATAGAATGAAAGAAAGGAAATAGGATGATCCAAATGAGATGATTAGCTAGAATGTTTGTAATACAGCATCACAATACAGAAGGTGGAGAGGATAAGGAAGAACACTGAAATCATAATGCAAAAAAGAAAGGTGTATATATTGCGGAAGCAGCTAACCAGAAAGATGAGAAGGTCTATGCAAAAACCAGAATGGTAAGTAGGGGTAAAAAGATACATCAGGGCCTCCCCGGTGGCACAGCGGTTGAGTGCCGTGCTGCGAATCTGTCCGCAGCCCCTGCAGCACTGGTTCGATTCCCAGACGGCCAGGGAGAACCCCACATGGCGCAGCAGACCTCTCCTGCCTTGCCCGTGCTCCCCTCAGCAGTGTCTTTGCTCCGTCTGCCTGTTCTGCAACCCGCTCTGGCTCTGGTGAATTTTCTCACCCTCCCGCGCTTCTGACCTGTACCCCAGTTCTTGTATAAAAATAAACACATCTTTAAAAAAAAAAAGATACATCAGAGAATGAAGACGGTCTGGCAGAAAAGAAAGGGCCTCAAAGATGAGGGATTACTGGAGAAACAGAAGAGCAACTGGAAGAAGAGGAATCAAGTTTAGTAGTGGGTAATAACAAACAAGATTTAGTATGAGTATCAATAAAGAAAATTAAACTTTAATAATGATAAATAAGTCAATGATTAATCAAAGAGAGGACATGAAGAAGGCCAAGGGGCCAAACAATATGCAAAATAATGTCAGAAAATACAAGTTGGGGGGAAAAAATAATTCTAGATTAGGGTAAGACCTTGTAGCACAGACTATCCATCTACCAAAACTGCTACTCTTCTATGTATTTTATAGTTGGTTTTATTACTATACATTATTATGTATAGTTTACTGGAATTACTACTGGTTTAAAATAGAAATCATTTTATATATGATAGGGATTCTATCTCAGATTCATTTTTTATAAGCTCATATCCCAAAGTGACCACAATATCTAATCACAACCATCAAAATCCTGGCAAGAGTCAAACTTTGATAGCAAGGGATCAAGGTCATCTGTAGACATACACAGAAGTCCTGTAATGGCCTTAAGATGTGGTTTCATTAGTCCATCACAAAGATTCGCATTTTCTCTGCCTTCTATTGCAAGATCCTGGGCCTTTTGCTTTCTGTTCCAAATTTCTACACAACTTTAAAAAATGTAAGAAAGGTCTCTGTGAAAACACTCACAAGCAGGACACAGCTCTTGTCAACACTGGGAGCCTGGGCCTTGGCTTTGAGGCTTATCACTTCTATAGTCTGTACCATATGAAGGTGAAGGCAAAGGCACTGGGTTCCTTTCCTCTCTTGATGTGGTATGAAAAGCCTTTAGCTATACTCCTAGTTAAGTCAAGATAGCTGCTACCCTGGAGGCAGTGTCCACTACAAGCCTCTTGGGAGCAGGTATTTATAGAGTAAGTGTGAGATATCTTTTCTTTAACAACCTATTTTCTAACTGTCTCTAAATGTTTGTGTTTTGTTTTTTTTCCTGTATGTCTTATCAAAATCACCTTGAAAAAACTCTAACCTGATCAGTCTACCCAGGTGGGTAAACAGGAGGCGATACTCTCAACTAGGGTTTTTCTCTTAATTTCTGGCTATTTTAACAAGATGATCATCTAGAAGATGGGTCTCTCCTCAACTGTCACCTCTATTTCATATGTAGCTACTATTTAATAAGACCCTGTCTGCTTCTTATTTCTCCCCTTTATTGTTTGCTTTTTTCCCATAGCACTTATTTTTTAGTATGTGTGGTGGAAGAACAGATTGCTCTCCTGTCCATTTGGGAGTGCAACAGTAGAAAGTGCTGCAAAGAGCAACAGAGGCTAATTGAGGATGGGAGGGAGTAGAGAGAAATTTGCAAAGCACTGTGAAAGCAGTTATGTTAGCTCTGACAGGGTGACTTAACAGGAGATAGATTTTATTTTATTTTTTTTAATTGAATAGAGTTTTATTTATTTTTTTGATTAATTTTTTATTTTATATAATTCTTACATCATTTTTCATTTTTGCACAATGCATGCATTTTCATTTTGGTTATATTCCCCATACAAATGCACCCCCCCTTATTTTGACCCAAGTCCTTCCTCTCCCCTTCCCCCCCACCCGTAGTGTGTCTCTGACTTATAGTTTCTTGTTGATTTTGATTTTTACTTTGTATTAATTAGTCTTTTTTCTGGTCCCTTATTTAGGTTTTCTAGATTCCTGCTATGAGTGAGACCAATATTTTTCTTTTTCTTTCTGACTTATTTCGCTGAGCATGATCCCTTCTAGCTCCATCCATGTTGCTGCAAACTGCATGTGTTTATCTTTTTTGATTGCTGAGTAATATTCCATGGTGTATATGTACCACATCTTCTTGATCCAGTCATCTATTTTTGGGCATTTGGGTTGTTTCCATAGCTTAGCTATTGTAAATAGAGCTGCTACAAACATAGGCGTGCAGGTGCCCTTTGGAATTAATGTTTCTGTGTCATTTGGGTAAATACCTAGGAGTGGAATTGCTGGATCATATGAAAGCTCCACAGAAGATAGATTTTAAACTGTGACCTGAGGGGGAGCCCCTCAGAAGGGCCTTAGGTGCTATCTTGAAGGCAAAAGAAGTGGGAAGGATGACAACCAGGAGCCCATGGGCTAAGACTGCTTACTCCTGCCTCAGTCAGTGTGGTTTTATATTTTGCAACTCCACATAACACTGCATTTGAGAAAGGGGTCATGCTGCTTTAAAAGGTTTGAAAATCCTGGTGGAGATAATGCCAGAGATTTAAAATCTGAAGATTTTATAAGAATCTGTGAGAATTACATGAAAGAAACAAAAACAAAACACTGAAAATATTCAATAGCACTAGTGGAAGTTCCTGCAGAAAGAGGAGAAAAGAAAGGAAACATGAGACCTCTTGAAGAAAGCAGCTGAGATGTGTGTTTGTCCCTCACCGTTTTGTGTTAAGGAGTGAAACTCCCACGATGCCCGCTGCAGCTGCGACTTCTCTGGCTTGGGTCGGCTACTTGGTAACTCCTGCCTGTTTTCCCAAGGTGCTGGCTTCTCTGCAAGCATGTCCTCATTTTGTCCACAAAAGACCTGGAAACAGTTAGGTACAATTGAAGCCAAAGAAAACAATCAGGTTGGGACTTGAGGGCAAAATAACAAAGAAACGTAAGGGAGAAAAAAGAAAAAGGAGAAAAAGCAGAGCTACATTCTATTTCCTGGCACAACCTCGAGGGCATCGACCACACCACACATCCCATTGTGCTAAGGGCACACACAATTTGCAAGCTCTATGCAAAGACTCACCAGTGCTCCTGGCTCATGCTCTCATGCTCACCGACACCCTCTTTACCTGCTCAGCTGGCCCGTCAAGCTCTCTCTCCAGCTCCTCCAACATAGCCACGGCTTCCTCTCCATTCTCTGGTTGGTGCTCTAGCAGCCAGGCCTGCAGCTCCTCAGGTAGGCTGGCCAGGAACTGCTCCAGGACCAGCAGCTCTAGGATCTGCTCCTTGGTGTGCACCTCCGGCCTCAACCACCGACAGCAAAGCTCCCTGAGCCGGCCCAGCGCCTCCCGGGGCCCAGGAGAATCCTGGTAGCCAAACTGCCTGAACCGCTGGCGGAAGGTCTCTGTGCTGTAGTGGCTGTTCCCATGCAGGCTGGAGTCCAGATCACAGGCCTGTTCTTCCTCCTCCATCTTCACTACCAAAAGGCTATCTGGCTCATCCGAAGTTTGTGGATGGACAGTTAATAACTCTCTCAATTTTGCAGACATCTGGGCTGGAAATAGTTCAGGACTGCTGAGTTTTAATCTTCAAGGTGATGAAACTCTCTTTATAGACACTCCTTAAACATGAGAGCCAGAAACAAGTGGAAAGAAAAGACAAATGCTTCTTATGATAATACAAGATTAGAAACATAAAACTGCACAGAAAGCACTGCCCTTAATCTTAACATAAACCATGCTTTCAAAGAATATGTCCTTCTTTAAAAGAATCAAAGAGCTAAGACTCATTAATTCATATGCATGAGTAATTCCCAATTTATTTTAAATGCCATGCCTACAAGGCAGACTAAATATCATAACAGATCACCTGGGATTGCACAGGAGCTCCTGGAGAATAGAAATAAGGGAAGCCTGAGAAAAGCTATGACTTTGGAGCAGGTTCAAAGAGCCAATAATTTTATCTAGCCTGCTGCAAAGAGATCTTAAAATAGTCTCACGAGAGAAGTACTTCCCTGTGGATTTTTTCAATATTTACTAATAGTTAAAACAATTATTATCTTGACATTAAAGGAACCATTCAAAAGAAAAATTACAGATCCCTACATCTAACTGTACTTCCATTTTTCAAACTTCCGCTTTCCGCCTGTAACATCTATATTAATTAACTATATTTTTATTGTACAATAGGTTTCTAATGTTCAGTAATATAAATAATGCTGGAGGTATATCTTGATGAAGATACTATTTTTCTCCTTTCAAATGATTTCCTTCAAAGTGCCCTAAGGTCTCAGCTGAGGTTAAAGAGTGGCAACTTTTGTCTTGTTGTGTATTATCAAATAAATTCACAATGACACCAGCAATACAGTGATGTATGAGGGCAACAATTTCTCCAAGCTGCTTAGTAGGAAATGGGTGGGTAGATATTTTTCTTGGTGGCATTAAGTATATATATTACTGTAACTGATGATAATACAGAAATCTTATATGAGGCCCAATTTGCCTCCTTAAGTAACCTACCACTTTGCCCCCACTTCACCAAGCATGGTTCTAGGCTCTGAAGTTCAGCAATCTGTGGCTTCATAAAGCTCATGCTCTAACAGGTGAAAGACAATGTTCCCAAACAAATAACACAACTTCATCCAGTGATGCGTTTCACTACAAATGGTAACAACTGACACAGAGAGAACTACTGTGTCAAAACCACCTTAAGTATAAACTCATTTAAATTCTCACAGAAGCCCCAGATGGTTATTTTTACCCCGGAGTGGTAGCTAGAGAAGCTGCCTGGTAAGCACGATCAGGGTGAAGGGCAAAGCTGGGGTCAGAGTCCAGGCCATCAGACTCCTCCACCGAGCTGCTGCATGGGGAAGAGGCTCCAGGCAGCAGTCGCAGCACAGAGGAGCACTCGACCACCCGGGCTGGAAGAGTCTGGGGTTGAGACAGGGTGGCAGGAGTTGTTCAGGCCACGAGAGTCATCCGGGACCCTGTATTAAAGAGGCCTCTGGGGCCACCCCTGGTGGCGCAGGCGGTTGAGCGCCGCGCTGTGAAGCTTCCCGCAGCCTCTGCAGCGCTGGTTCGATCCCAGCCGCCGGCGAGGGTCCCACATGGCGCGGCAGACCTCTCCTGTCCCGCCCGCTGCTCTCCTCTGCGGTGTATTTCGTCAATCTGCCTGTTCTGTTCCCGGCTCTGGCTCTGGTGAATCCTCTCACCTCCCGCGCATCTGTACCCCGGTTCTTGTATAAAATAAATAAATCTTAAAAAAAGGGGGGGGCCTCTGGGTGTCACAGAACAACTGGCCACCAGATCGCACTTGGGCTCTTCAGCACCAGGAGCCGAGCCTTTGAGATGTCACAGCTGCTTTCAGCTCTACACAAGACACTGCACCCTAACCCCGCCGAGGCGCACGACTGCTGGTAACAAACGGATCCCTGAGGAGAGAATCAATCGGGGGTCTTCCCTTAGAGACCCGCCGCTAACTTCAAAATTCTCCCTTTAGTGGGGGGCTCGGGGAGGATGTGAATGCGACGGTCCCCCGACATCCCTCCCCGACACGCCCACGCGCGCACTAGGCTGCGCTCCTTGCCGGGAGGGCCCAACCCCGCGAGAGGGCGAGGGGGTCGCCGACGTGGTGGGGGAGCGCGGAGCAGACCCACAGAGGGGCAGGTTCAGCGTGGGGAGCAGGCGCCACGGCGAGGGGGTGGTGCGCGGACGCGTGGTGAGGATCCCGAGCGTAAGCAGCCGAGGCGGGGGCCGCGCGTAAGCGGCGCGCAGCGTGAGGAGGATGGAAGGAGAAGCCTATGAAGAGGGGGTGCACGGCCCGCGGAGGAAGGGGTGCAGGAGCCGATGCGAGGCGGAGCCGAGGTCCACGGCCACCCCCCTCCCCAGCCCAGCGTGAAGGACGCGTCTTCCAGCGGCCTAGGGCACAGCAGAGACCCCGGCTCTCACCTCCGGGCAGGGAAAGACGGCCCCGCGTTGTCGGGGAGAAGCCGGGAAGCGCCCCCAGGAAGCTGCTTCCGGTTCTCCCGCGGTGGAGGCCGACCCCGGTGTGGTGGAGGCGGAGCTGGGGCTGCCCAGCGGTTGCCAAGGAGACGAGCCGGCGCCTCCTCGCGCTCCCGCGCCACTGGGGAGCCAGGGCCAGGGGAAGACCCCCACGAGTGGGAATCCCGCACTGGCATCACCGTCCAAATAAGCCAGCATTGCTATTTAACATTCCCTTTACTCACTTTTTCAATAATCCAGTAAGGTTACTCCCATTATACGGGAAATAAACCCAAAGGTTCTGTGCCAAGTTCACAAAGAGGGGAGACGCGTCTGCTTTCTGTGGCTAAGCACAACTTTTCTCTAATACCTGCAGTGTTGCTGAGGTGAGGTAGGCTCCAAATGCTGAGTCTTTTTACAGTTCCCCAAAATGTGAAGAGTTTTGCCTAAATCGGACAAGGATTTTTCACTTGTGCACAAGGGAGCCAGTGACCAGCAAGGAATTTTCTCCTGGTTCCCTGAAAGGAGTGAGGAGGAGACTTTTAAGGGTTAGGCCACGTTCGTTTGCAGATGGAGATTACATACTTCACGCACCGTGTGTTTCATCAGCATTTACCAACTGTGCAACTGCTCTCAGCCTCTCCAGAAAATCGTAAGACAATTGTTAGTCAGGGCCTAACATTTTTTGCTAGCATAGCACCTTTGGTTAGTGTGGTGGGCCAGATTGTTTGAACAGGATGTTAAGGGAAGAACCTCCATCTGCGATTCAGTCCACCTGTTCAAACAGGACATGGAGCAACTCAGTCTAGCTCAGCCTGCCATTCAATTCCCCTGTCCCAACAGGATGTTTGACAGTTCAGCCCTCATTCAGTTTTCTTGCTCAAAGAGGAGGTTGGACAACTCTAATCCTACCAACTTTGCAATTTCTTTTATCTAGGTTGTCTCAGTCTTAAAGAACAGGCTTGAACCTCACTCTTCCCACTTCTGTGCTTTCACAGGAGAACCAGGCAAGCCTCTGATTGTATCAAGGAAAGGATGCATGATGTCTATCCACAAAGAAGCCAAGGTAATGTTCCCTAGAATAACGTAATGGATCACAAACTCAAGTTGCCAGATACCTGGTACAAATATCAGAGCAGCTGCAGGGCTAGTTGGAGTACTCTACTACTGGTAAATGAAATTTCTTCCCTCATCCTCAATATGGCTTCTATGGTATTTACTAGTGAATTTATACAAATTGAAACTTACTTTAATTATTACCTGGATGAGAATGGAGATGTTTTTAATCAACTACTGGGCAAATGTTTCCGAGGTAAAGACTACCTGAGATTCTTACCACAAACCATATTCTCAAACAACTTGAAAAGGATCCATGTCTCCCCAGTGCAGATTATGATCAATAAGGACTAAGTTCTGATGATGTTTTTGTCAGTCATGACTGTCATAGGGCTGTTCCCAGTGGGGATATTCTGATGCTGAATAAGCATTAAGCTCTAATTAATGGGCCTTTTACCTTCAACCCATCCATACAGTTTTACTCTACTGTGATTTCATTGCTTAATGAGATCTGCACTCTGGTTGAAAGCTTTTTCTGCCCCAAGTAGCTAAAACAATCTTGAGAAAAAAGAAAAATGGAGGTATCACATTTCCCAACTTCAAATGGTATTATTACACAGTATCAGTAATCAAAACAGTATGGCACTGGAACAAAAACAGAAAATCAGACCAACGGACTAGAATTGAAATCCCGGAGATAAATCCATTTAAATATGGACAGTTAATCTTTGATAAAGGACCTATGGCAATACAATGGAGAAAAAGATAACTTCTTTAATAAATGGTGCTGGAAAACATGGATAGTCACTTGCAAAAAACTAAAGCATGACCCATATTTAATTCCAAACACCAAAATTAATTCAAACTGGATTGAAGATTACCATAGAATACTTGAAAGAAAATATAGGGGACACATTATAAGACACCTACCACAAAGATTTATTTGGGACTACAACCCCAAACAGCAAAGAAAACAAAAGAAAAAATAAACAAGTGGGACTACATCAAACTTAAAAAGTTTTGTACCTCACTAGAAACCATTAAAAAAACAAAAAGGCTACCTACAGAATGGGAAAAAATATTTACATACTGTTGCATCAGGCAACACCACACTGACAAAGACATGGGAGTCATGGAGCAGGCTACATAATGCAGGATGCCCTTTTTTTTTTTTTTTTAAAGATTTATTTATTTATTTATACAAGCACTGGGTACAGTCAGAAGCGTGGGAGGGTGAGAGAATTCACCAGAGCCGGAGCGGGGAACAGAACAGGCAGAGTGACGAAATACACTGCTGAGGGGCACAGCGGGTGCAGGACCCTGGCCAGCAGCCAGGGATTGAATTGGCTCTGCAGAGGCTGTGGGCAGCTTTGCAGCCCCGCGCTCACTGGCCATTTTTATTGATAGAATAATCATAGAGCATCAGCTACGTGCATTAGGACTAGGAGAAAAGGATGGGTGAAACTCAGGAATTTATCTTGGGCTTGGGGGAACATGAGTCTGCTGACCATCTTATCAGCTTGATGACCAAGTGTTGTAATTGAAACTGGGCCTCAGACTCCCGGCCATGGTCCTAATCTTACCAACAAGGCATTCCACTGATCATACATCAGTCCTCAGCCCCCTGGGTGTTCCCAGTCATACCTCTTGATGCATACCCTTCCCAGCGTGATCACGCTTTCTGCTCTTGATTGATATGAAAGGCACCTTGTAAGGTTTGGTTCCTATGATTGACTGGTTCTGAAGGGAAGTTCTGACCTTTTATAGGAATGCAGAACTGCAGGTAACCATAATGGCAGCCAAAACAGGCTGCTTAAGTTTAGCAGACCCACTGCATACCATATTTGATAAGGGGTTAATCTCCAAAAATTATAAAGTATTTATACAATCTAACAGCAAATAAACAAATGACCCAATTGAAAAATGGGCAAGGGACCTAAATATACACTTCTCCAAAGAAGACATTGAGCTAGCTTACAGACATATGAAAAAATGTTCAACATCACTTACATGGGATATGCAAATTCAAACCACATTGAGAATCACCTTACCACTGTGAAATTGACCCATATAAAAAAGAATGAAATTAACAATTATTGGTAAGGATGCTTTGAAAAAGGAACTCTCATCCACTGTTGGTAAGGATGCAAGTTGGTTCAGCCCCTGTGGAAAACAGTATGGAGATTTCTCAAGAAAATAAAAATGGAAATTCTGTATGACACAGCAATACCTCTATTAGGTGTGTATACAAATAATATGAAAACCCTAATATGAAAAAGATCTGTCTGCACCCATGTACATAGATTTGTTCATAATTGCCAAGTCATGTAACCAGCCCAAGAGTCCTTCAACAGATGAATGAATTGAGAAATGGTGGAGGGTGGAGGGACAAATTATGATACCATAGAGGCGAATATTTAATTTACAAAGATTTGAGGCCACCAAAAATATTTAAATATTTTGTCATTGTATTCAAAATAAAGACATTTCTAGGTAGAAAAAAAAAATCTCAGTGTATGTTAAGAAAACTAAAAGGGCCTCCCCGGTGGCACAGTGGTTGGGCGCTGGGTTGCAAAGCTGCCTGCAGCCTCCGCAGCACCAGTTTGATCCCCAATCGCTGGGTGAGAGGGTCCCACATGGTGCACAGAACTCTCCTGCTGCCCACTGCTCCCCTCAGCAGTGTACTTCATCAGTCTGCCTGCTCTGCTCTCCACTCTGACTCTGGTGAATTCTCTCACCCTCCTGCACTTCTGACTGTACCCAGTGCTTGTATAAATAAATTAATTAAAAAAAAAGAAAACTAAAAAAAAAAGAATTACTGTATAATTTGGCAATTTCACCACTGGGGTTATACCCATAAGATTTGGAAGTATGAAAGAGATATGTGGATTATAGTAGTACTATTCACAATAACCAAAAGATTGAAGCCACACAGTGTCCAATGGCAGAAGAATGAATAAACAAAAGATGGCATAGATGTGTAATGCAATATTATTCAGCTTTATAAAGGAAGGACATTCTGATACTTGCTATTACATGGATGAACCTCAAGGACATTATGCTAAGTGAATTAAGTCAATCACAAAAAGACAAATGCTGTATAATCCCACTTATATGAGAGAAATGAACAGAGTCAAATTTATAGAGACAGAAAGGCAAATAATGGATACTAGGGACTGAGGGGAAGGGGGATATTAACTAGTTTAATGGGTACAGAGTTTTGGTTTTGCAACACGGAAAGTGTTCTGGCGATTGATTGCACAACAAAATAAATTTAGTCAACATGACTGAAATGGTTAAAATGGTAAATTTTATGTCTATTTTGTCTATAAAATTTATAGATTATTCAGGAACCAATAAAAAAAAAGGAGTCCTAAATAAATGAAGTGATATCCTATAATCATGGGCTAGGAGATCTGATACTATAAAAATGATAATTATTTCCAAAATTGTAGATTTAATGCAATCCCCCCAAAATGTCAATTTTGTCTGGAAATTGAAAAACTGATAACATTTATATGGAAATGCAGAATCAAGAAGAGTCTAGACACTCTTAAAGGAGAAAAATGATGTGGTAGGATGTTGTGTTGGCTATCAAGATGCATTAAAATCTGCAATAACAAAACAGTGGCATATTTATGTGAGGATGGAAAAACATATCAATGGAAAAGAGTAAAATTCCAAGGAATAGGTTTGTACATACATGGTTATTTGATGAGTTACACAAATAGCACTACAGAATAGCGGGTGGAAGATGGTCTTGTCAATAAAAGATACTGGGTTTAATTAAATATCTATATAGAAAAAGTAGACTAAAATTTTAATCCTAATTCACACCACATACAACCACCATTTTAAGTTCATGGTAGACCTAAACATACAAAGCAAAATAGTAAGATTTTGGAATATAACGTAGGAAAACATCTTCATGATACTGGGACAAGGAGAGATTTTAAAAATAGGACACTAGAAGCACTTATCATAAAAATGATAAATTTGG